CACCGATGGATTGTAGTTTGTTCAGTTGGTCAGTTGTTTCTCGAAGATAGCTGGGAGGGCTGGTAGCGTAGGGTCTGAGGAGAGAGTCTACATAACCAGACAAGCCTGATGTTAGGGTACCAATGCCTGAGATGATGGGGCGTCCAGGATATCCAGGTTTATGGATCTTGGGTAGCAAATAGAATACCCCTGGTCGGGGTTCTAGGCATGTGTCTGTACGGATTTGCTCCTGTGCTTTGTCAGGGAGTTTTTTTAGCAGATGGTGTAGTTTCTCTCTGCAACCATGAGGGCTAGAAACTTATGAAAGACGAGAGTCTCTTGTAATCACCTGACTCCAGGAGCTGGGGTGTTAAGAAAAACACCAAACAATGAGACTCCCGGTAAAATCACGGGATTTGGTAAGAATGCAGGAGTGGTAAAGGTCTGAAATGCAGCTGAGAAGCTGAACCAGGTAGCAGCTAAATCAGAATTTAGGTGGGACATTCTGATATTTTGACATTTGTGTCTGTCATGAATCAGGACAAGAAGTTGAAATATACAAACTTTTTATTTTGCAATCAGTTCCAGAAATGTGTGGAAAATATCTGGTTTCCGCATTTGATCAAACCAATTTCTTTCATCATTCACATAGCAAAGCTGTTTGGTTTGTCAAACCAAATCAGAACATTTATTTCAGCATGGTTCAACATTGAACAGCAACTTTGGGTCCTCATGGGAGTTCTGGGTTGGGTGCCTTCTGCCCCCTTCTGTGCCCTGAGATCCTGGGCTGGACTACATCTCCCATGATGCCCAGCAGTGGCTCAGCCAATAGGGAAACCCTGGTGCATTATAGGAGATTTAGTCTGGGGGACCCAACCCAGAGCAGAGAATATGAGGCCCAAACTATAACCCCCATGAGGCACCTTGGTAACTCAGCTGGCTACAGATTAATGTTGAACTGACCCCAAAGAAAATCATTGCTCAATGGAAAATAGAAACTTTTCAGTGAAATCAAAATTAAACTTAGGAAAAATTCATCTTTGACAGAAAATTCATTTTCTGTCACAGAAATATTTTGATGAAAAATCTTCAGCCAGCTCTACAAAATACACTAGACTAGTCTTAGCACCATGTCCCTGCATGGGCTGACCAACCCATAGCTCATGGAGTGGACGGGTGCTGCCTCTGAGGTTGGGATGTCATTTCCTGGTGTAGAATTCCCAGCCTGGACACCTCCCCAGCGCCCTGAGTAGCAGCCCAGAGAACCCAGTGTAGGTTGTAGAGATCCCAGACATGGAGATGTGTAACGTGTATTTGCTGTTACTTTTTTAACAAAGGATTTCCTGATGCGTCATAAAGGACCCTCTGACCATTGGATCGGCCTCCAGAGGGAACCGGACCAACCCTGGATGTGGACCAGTGGCACTAAATTCAACAACTGGTGGGTCCCTTTTAATTCTCTTAACTCAGTAAATGTTGCACATCACATGTAAAACAGGACACTGGCCTTGTGGCTGAGGCCTGGGCTGTGACTTAGGAAATCTGGTTCAATTCCTGGTTTTACCCCAGGTTTGCTGTGACCTTTGGGCAAATTGCTTGGAGCCAGATTATGGCTGCTAGTTGAAGCTGCTTTCATAGTTTTGTTGGATTTATTATTATTATTATTATTTGTTGCTGTTGCAGGTTTCCAATAGCGGGAGGAGGACCATGTGCTTTTCTGAACAGAGGCGATGTTTCCAGTTCAGGCTGCTGGAGGAACGCACGCTGGATCTGCAGCAAACCAGCAGAGAAACCAGAAGGCCGAGCAAAGTGACTGTAACCTGGATGAGTCGGGCCTTGTCCTTTCCATGGGGCTGTCCCAAGCTGCCTCACCCAGTGGGGAACTGGATGGGGCTGGTGAAGGCGGACATCCCAAGCAGCAAGGAAGAGAGACGCTCGCTGAAGGGCAGCATTTAGCTCCTTCCCTGGGAGCCTCTGGCCCCCATTGGCCCATTTGGGAGTGTGGGGTGCTCCAGGGATTTAACCTGGAGGCCACATAATGTGGGTCTCTTATGGCTCCATTCCAGCAGCCCCACCCTGTATTTGGAGTTGGACTCACGGGACGGGCTGAGACTCCGTGGCCCTCCCAGGCGGAGGGCAGCCCTGTGTTCAGGTTTTATAACATTTGGAGCCTGCCACTTAAAATCCACCCATGGGCCTGTGTTTACTTTGCCACTGCGTCCTCATCCGTGTTCCTTCTCCGGCCAACATGCAGCTACCCCTGGCCTGAGTGAACCCCTCGTAACCAGACAGCAGCACCCCAACAAGCGGACAGATGGAACATACAGTAGCCATAAGATAGGACATGGCAGTTGTTTGTACTTCACAAGCAGCAGGGTGTGACAAGTTGGCAGCAAGGCCTGCTGGGAAAGGAAATGAGTATAAAAGCCCAGGCTCTGTCTCTGGCACAGAGAAGGAATCTTTTGACTTGGAAACCGGAAGGGGAGCAGCCAAACCTGCAGCGTCCTGCCTGTCAGAGGCCCCAGGGCAGGATCCGGAGAAGAGCTGGGGCTAGACTGATCTGCCCGAAACTGTCTCTGGAGGTGCTGTGGCCCCTGCAGCCACGGCGTGAAGGGGCCGGGGTGAACCCTGCAGCCTGGGGGAAGGATGCACAAACGGCGAGAAGGGCTGCTTTGCAGGCCCTGCTGCAAGGGCTGCAGGAGTGTGAAGAGGGACTGTGGACAAGAGAGGATGCTGGAACATCCAAGATAGACTCTGTGAGTGTGTGTGTGTGTGTGTGTGTGTGTGTGTGTGTGTGTGTACACATACAACATTTTTATAATAATAAACCAGCTCCCAGAAGGGAAATTTTTATTTTATTTGTTTTATTGTAAACCTTAAATCCTCATGTGACTGGCTCCTCCCACCCCAGCAGGGAAACTGAGGCAGCAGCTGCATCCTCCCACCAGGGCTGTGAGCGCCCCTCCCACCAAGGACTAATGAACCGAGGACAGTGTGTGTCTCTCTCCTTTTTCTGCCCGATCCTCCTCATCTTTCCCTCTGCCTGCCAAGGGGGGATGTTCTTTAGGGGAAGGGATCACCATTCACTAGGGCAGGGGTTCTCAAACTGGGGGTCGGGATCCCTCAGGAGGTCACAAGGTTATTACATGGGGAGTTGTGAGCTGTCAGTCTCCACCCCAAACCCCACTTTGCCTCCAGCATTTATAATGGTGTTAAATATATAAACAATGTTTTTAATTTATAAGGAGGGCTAAGGGGGGGTCGCACTCGGAGGCTTGCTGTGTGAAAGGGGTCACCAGGACAAACGTTAGAGAACCCCTGCACTAGAGGAAGGGCTTTTCCCTAGTCTCTGCCTATAAAGGGCAGGGCTCAGCCTGGTGTCTCTTCCCATGGAAAGAATGGGTCTGTCATGAGCACAGTGGAATGTGTGTGAGCGAGAGAGAGATCAAAGAGCTGAGCTAGTCTCTGTCTAGTAGGGTGACCAGACGTCCCGATTTTATCGGGACTGTCCCGATATTTGCTTCTTTGTCCCGCGTCCCGACCAATGTTTGGTTGGGACACTGGACAAATAAGAAATTTTGCCCTCCCGGAGGGACTCTCACCCTCCCTGCCCCGTCTCCGCCCCCGCCTTCCCCCATTGGCTCCCTTCCCAAATCCCCGCCCTGGCCCCGCCTCTTCCCCAAC